CCATATTAGACATAGATATGAAGAAAATTAAGTGTACAATGCTTGGAGATCTGGAGTTGTCGTATTCTCATTAGAGAATAAAATATGGACAAAATAGGAGTCTAAGATAAATAACATCCTACTGGTAGGTTATCTTAAAGAAAGTACTAGATATTATATTGATAGTCCTAGTGTATTTTTCAGACAATAATTATTATTAGAATGTGTTCTTTTGTAAAATCAAGTTTGTTAAGCAATGGTTGATATAACTCTAGAAGAAAACTTATTTTCTTTAATGGGAGAGTTGTTTAATCCAGCGAGAGAAACTTCAAATGAGTTGAAGATTCTATAAATTTAGTGGGAGCTTCCAGTAATAAAGTAAATAGAGATTTACTTACTTAATTTATTGTTGAATACACTAATTATAATTAGGAGATCAAATAGGATTTTCATCCACCTGTATAGTACGATAACCTTGTTAATATATATTTGATGAAAAGTAACAAGGAGAATAAAAATCCTAAAACTTACACAAAAGTCATGTTGGACATGATTTCATGTAAGTGAGCTGATGTCACATTTGATGACAAACAGTTATTAAATGTTGAAGAATTTTTTTTTGTCTAATTGTAATATTATAGTTCATAAGGATCCATTTAATCATTTCAACATGTTATGAATATAAGATATCGATTTAATCATTTCAACATGTTATGAATATAAGATATCGATAAATGGATTTCAAAATAACCTTCTTGAATGGATATCTTAAAGAAAATATTTACTAATATAAGATATCGATAAATGGATTTCAAAATAACCTTCTTGAATGGATATCTTAAAGAAAATATTTACTTATAGATATTATAGAATCAAGTAAGTAAAATTCAAGAAGATAAGATTGATTAATTGAATCAATCAAATATATGAACTTAATTAAGCAAAGATTCATTTTGATGAGATCATTAAGGAAATTGTTTTTAATCATATCCTTAAAAAGAAATCTTGTATGTATAAGAAATAATAAAATAATTCCATTACATTCCTATCATTGCATGTTGATGACATATTACTCATTATGAATGATATTTTAATGTCTTGACAAAAAGTATGATTTAGTTCCTTATGAAGGATTTTGATTTAGTTCCTTATGAAGGATTTTCGTTTGATATTCTATATCTTAGATCTCAAACTCTATATAGATAGAGAAAGAGATATATAGAATTGTCATAATCTACTTATATGGATAAGATCCATAGAAGATTCAACTTAACAAGATTCCAAGAAATGAATGGTTCCTATAAGACATAACTAATCACTCTTTAAGGAAATGTGTCCCAAAAAAACTGATTTTTTTGGAAGTAATTGATCTTATAAGTAGTTTTCAATCCAATCCTAATAATAGAAAGTCTGTTTCGGGTTATATTTATATCATTAATAATAATAGTAGAATATGTAGTTCCATGTGAAACCATTAAAGAAGGAATATGGATAAATGAGTTTCTCCATAAGCTTAATATTATTTTTTAATAATATTTTTCTTTCTATCTATTATTTGATAGTAATAGAGTTGTTGCGAAAAGCTTAGAAGGAAAAATTATCTTATTAAATGTTAATAAGAAGAAATATGTGATGGTTTAATAAATGACTAAGCAGATAACATTTAATGTCCTTTTATAGATCATTGTCATAAAACGTTTTTGACAGATGGAAGTAAGGATTACATCTGATTGGATGTTAGGGCAAGTGGGAGATTGCTGGAATAGTAATAATAATTTGCCCTTGAACATCCAATACAAATTATGTAATAATATTGTAATGTTAATAAATTTTATTGTTGCATATATAATTTGGATATTATTTATATAATTGTTATATATCCTTAGAAGTTATTTTGTTAGATCATGCACTGTGATGGTCACTTGCTTGGAGATATGATCTAACTTAGAAACTTTTTTAAATTTGTACTTAACCTATAACTAGTAGAGGATAACTTTGTTATAACAGGTTATTATGCATGACACCGATATATAAGATGTGGTGGTGGATCTCAACCACCGGGAATGGAGATTCTCCGTGTGTATGTCATAAGCACACATTATGATGTGTGTAGCACTAGACCGTATTTAAATTCTCTAGAATGAATCACCTAAGAAATAGAGAATTCAAATTGTTGCATGGTCCCTTTGACTTGATGATATTGCTATTTTTGATTTGATAATTTAGTATGCTTTGATATGATAGTTAAGCTTGTTAAGTAAGCGGTACACAACCTGAAACGTTGGGTTACTAAATTTTATTTAGGAAAATGATGGATGTCTAAATAGGATCTAGTATGCTCATTATGATGAGTTAATTTATTATGCATTCCCATGAAGCTATTAAATTCCTGTCGGTGGGTGGTTTTAAAAATATTTTTTAAATTTACTTTCTTATAAAAATAAAATATTTTGATGTTTCAAAATGATTTTTATTTATGTTCATAGGAATTGTAATTTAGGCATGAGCAAATAGGTGAGTTATCTTTCTTAAAAGAGTTGCCTAAAATAAATGATACTGGAGGGGACTGAATGTAAGATATTGTTTATTAATAATTAATCACATATTATGGAAGGGCTTTTATGAACAGTTGATCGGATAGGGATTTAATTGTTAAATTAAAATTATTAATTTGATTAATAATTGCTTCTTGATATATGACCCAGTTGGTCTCACTAATGTTATTAGAAGATGTATACATGCAATACAATTCTATTTCTGTCCTTAATTGTTATGGATAAAGTTTTTGAACAAATCTATTACTATATTTAATTGTTATGGATAAAGTTTTTGAACAAATCTATTCTATCTTTAATTGTTATGCATAGAGTTTTGAGCAATTAAGAATTGTTTAAAATTAAAATATCTAAGACTAGTCTAAGTCTATAAATAGAGCTCATATGTAGTCTTATGAAGAGACAGAAAATCTTACGAATATAATATGAAGAAATAGAAATATGAGAACCTATCTTTCAGTATTGCTCCTCTTCGGTGACGGGTGGATTTCAATTGGAGGTTTTTTCTCTTGAGAAAGCTTTTTCAGATTGATCTTAGATCAGATTATTGTAGAAATTCGGAAAACATTTCAGGTATAATTCTAGATTTTAATTAATTTTGATTAATCGTCATGATATGCTTTTTTCGCTGCGTTGTATGTCACGAATCCATTACTATCATGTATGTGAAGCCTTTTCATTCAAGTTCTCCATCGATTGTACTACTCATCATGTCACTTACCGAGTCTTTGCTTATGACAATCTTTTCTTAACTACTCATATGAGATTATTAATTGACATATTACTAGGACAATGGCGATTAGCTGAAAAAGAACAAAAGGAAGCGTAAAACATCTTTCCATTACTATTATTCAGAGCTTCCTTCTCTTGACGGCAGAATACACAGGACATGATTTTTCCTGTACTATCAGTATATTTTAGCAGTTATTTTCTTCTCTGAGAATTTTGTTTCGACATACATTAATTTTGATGTAGCGTGCATATGCAAGCGCCAATATATTTATAAGCATCCTCACAAACCATGTGACTTAAAAAGTTAAGCAAGAAAACATCCAAACGAGATGTCATTGAGGTATCAAAGTGTAAATGTTATTTTGGAGATATACTGACGCAAAATTCTACGTACTTGAGCAGGTTGTTAGGCCAACATTTTGGGTTCACCTAAATCTTCCTGCATGGTTCTATTCAGTTTGGACGGTGAACCATAATATCATAGTCCAAGAAAGCTGCTAGAGGAATTTCCGGCTATAAATAAAACTAGGATTCTTAAATATCAACTTGTTCCTCATGTAAGAAGCTTTAGAAAGCTGTTGGCTTAAACGTTGGATAGCAGAATATCGAACTTTGGATCTGAAGAAGTCATCATCCTTTAATCACAATCAAAATTCAAATCAGTCACAGTAGAGATTAAATTTAATAAAACCAATATCAAAAACGAACTCAGCATGTCGAAAAAAACCTAGGAACGACTCCTGGATCACCAAAATCTACCTTCAAACCCTCGATCAAAAGACAAATTAATTTGCACCATCAGATTTGATTTAATAATTTGTACCCAAAACCCTCACCAACGTCAACATTGTTCCCGCTGCTATAGTATTCCTATTGCTACAGTACATTTTTTCCTTTCCCCAATATCGATCACTGTGCTTCGACTACTGACGCTTTCATCAATCGCACGCCGCTCAAACTTCCACAGACCGTCGAATTTCACTGTGATACCACTTGTTGGGATTTTTAGATCTCGTAAAAACCCCAAAAATCACCAAACGCAGCAAATAGAATCACACGAGATTTAACGTGAAAAATCCTCAACAGGAAAAAACCACAGGATCAAAATCAATCCACTATCACCTCTAAATTATAATCTTTTACACGAAAAAAGGCTGTCAAACCCTATCTCTCACAATACCCTTAAACCTGGTTATACCCTCTAAAACTCTGATTACAAGAATATTGTCTCTCTCCTTCTATCTACTCTGAAACTCTAGAATAGGATGCCTTATTTAAAGGCACACCTGACTTGCCCGCCAAATTAACTTGGCCTCTAAGAAAACTACTATGACCGCACTTGACTTGGAGTTTGAGTCGGTACCCAACAATCCTGGCATGGCAAATGGACGGAGATTTTGATTTCATTATGTGTATGTATTGCATTTTTCATCATTTGTGGAATTGATGTTTTTGGTTTATAATTTTCTTTTTAATTCACTTGTATTTTGAGAGCTATAGTAATTAGAGACATGTCGTCTTGATCTACAGCATGCCTTGCGTGCCAATATGTGGCTTAGGTATGAATGTAAATAGTTGTATCAGGCAAAACAAAGATTAGTCAGGACTAGTGTTGTGATGAAGTAGTTGTACACGTCACGAAAGGTGTAGCGTCATGGCTGTTACTACACTGCTTCCTCTCTTAAATTCTGTTGATAAAATTAAACGGTATATAACACTTAATATTGAATTCTGTTGATCAACACTGTATCAAGTGCGGAGTTGAATCTGCGTTTGTGCAGGGAAAAGCAAGTGCTAAGGACTCAGTTTTCTTGGGGGTTCCTCTCTCTGATCAATTCAAGTCTAGCTTCAGTCCTTTGGTGTTCAGGAGCAAGGTACTTTTGTTTTTTTTTCCCTTTGTTGGAAATTTATGGACTAACTTCTGCTTATAATGAAAGTTTCTTTCTGAAGTTTAATTTTGTACTAGTTTGCTTCACTTCAGTTATAGAAGGGGGTGATTTATGTCATGTTTGACTTTGAAAGCTTGAAGGATCTGTGTCAAACTATAGAAAAATTATCAATTCTTTTCTCACATCAAAATATTCATTTCTAATCGATCAAAATTCATGTTTCACAACAAATTGTGCAATGCAGATGGATGAATGTGCTAATTAGTCTTAAACCCCATCCTAAGTTAAAACTTCAAGGTTGTTATGATTGTAGCTCATGTGCCGAAACCTAAAGTATTTTATACATCGATGTCTTTTTTTAAATCAGTTTTAAATACCTAACTGCCGGTATTTTCTTATGTGTTCATATCATATAAGAAATTCAATATATTATAATTAAGACAAGAAATACTTAAGCATTTTAAGGAAAATTGTGCATGACACTGTTTTGGAGTATAATTATTTATGATGTTGCATACTGTGATATTGATGCAATTTTATATGTTTGAGTAATTATTAGAAAATTTAGGGTAATTTATGGTTTTTTATACATATTTTCTAAACTAGTGTAATTTATGAAGTTTTATGAAGTTTCACTCCTTACCTCCGTGAACCCTAGCCCTCCATTGTCCGCCTTAAGCATTCTCATAATACATGCCTTGTAACATTTACAATGTGGACCTCTATAATTTTGCCATTAAGTTCCACATCTCTTTTCCTGTCATTTAAAAAGAAAAATCAAATATTATCTTGTCTCAGGTTGAAGTCCGGAGGTAACTATATAATGGCCAATATTTTTAGGAGTTGTTACTGATTTATTGTGTTATTTAGGTTAGCATGGCCCATGACTCCATAAGAATTAAGGATTGGATGTACATGAGTCACCTAGAATGCATACAATCTAATTTTGTTGATGGAGTTGGTGCTTTCATGGAATTTGCAGCCAGACACGATATGATTCAATGGGGGAGGTTCATTTGTCCATGTAAATAATGTGTGAATAAGTTACACCATGTGGAGGAAGAAGTAGGACTTCACATTGTAAAGAATGGTTTTGTTAGTGATTATATGACTTGGGTACATCACAGAGAAATTGAAGGTCTTAGTGATGCAAATGAAGAAGAACAAGAAGAAGACAACTTATTTATAGGTGAGGAAATGGAGGAAATGCTAGAGGTTGCTCCTAGTAACACTAATCCTATTGAAGATCTTTCTTCCGGACGAGAACAATATGAAGACAATTATGATAAATACATGAATGATGCCGGGAGGCCGATTTATGAGAATGTAAAACACTCCCTGTTGTCATCACTTCTCCATCTATTTGAGATTAAGTGTCTAAATAAATGGAGCAACAAATTATTCACAATACTTCTAAAGTTTTTAAAAGATTTTATCCCTCCGCGGAACCATGTGCGTGAGTGCTAGTAGGAAGCTCAAAAGGTAATGTCTAATCTATGTCTGAACTTTGAGAAAATTCATGCATATCCCAATGATTGTGTACTGTACTGGAAGGAAAATTCAGATAAGATAGAATGTCCTACTTGCGGCGAGACTAGATATAAGAAGAAAGCACATAGTTAGAAGAAAGATATTCCTATAAAGATAGTACAATACTTTCCCATAACACAGAGGCTATAGAGGCTATTCAAGTGTAAGAAGATAGCGATGGCAATGACCTGGCATCATCATGCTCATCCAAGTGAAAATGGAAGAATGAGTCGTCTAAGAGATACGCCCGCATAGAAGGATTTGATAATAGGCACCTAACATTTAGTAAGGAACCTCGTAATATCAGGCTTGGGCTGGCTAGCGATGACTTTTTCCCTTTTAGTTTTAAGGGCAATCTGCACAGCACATGGCTCATTGTGATGATGGTTTATGATCTCTCACCATGGTTGGCAATGGACCAATCCCACTTTATGATGTCTCTTCTTATTGATGGTCCGAATTCAATGGGAAATAATATTAATGTCTATATTCAACCTCTCATTGAAGAGTTAAGGTCTTTATTCATCAACAGTGTGCAAACATACGATGCACACTTAGGGACAACCTTCAGGATGCGTGTAACCTTAATGTGGGTAATCAATAACTTTTCTGCATATGTAACGCTGTCCGGTTGATCCATACATGCTTACAAAGCATGTCCTAAGTGTCACCTCAAGACAATATCAAAAAGGTTGTCCTTTAGCAATAAGACTTGTTATTGCGGTCATCTTCATATGTTGCGTGAAAATCATCAATACAAAAATGACAACTTCCACTTTGATGGAACTACAAAGAATCGTCCATGTCCAGACCCCTTATCCGGGTCGAATGGTAAAATCAATGTGACTTTTGGGAAAATAAAAGGGAAGATAGGAGATACCATAAGGATAGAGTAAGAAAAGCATTTTTTTCGAATTGCCATATTGGAAGACAAATAAAGTGCGTCACAATTTGGACGTCATGCACATTGAGAAGGGAGTATCTGAGCACATACTTAACTTGCTTCTTTGTAAAGATGGTAAATCGAAAGACAATGTCAAAGCTCAAAGGGATCTTCGATCATTCGGGGAACATTAGAAAAGAGCTGCATCCTATTTCGAAAGTGGGCAATCCATGCAAGCTTGTACTTCCCGATGCTTTGTATCACATGTCACAAGATGAAAAGAAAAGGTTCATTTAGGTGTTACATGAGTTGAAGGTTCCTACGGGGTTTCCAGGTCATTTAGTAAGAAGATAAAGATTGTTAAAGGCAAGATTGATGTGTTGAAGAGTCATGATCGTGATGTTATCATGAACCACGTTCTCCCATTATCACTAAGGAGTGCCATTCCAAATTTAGTTGGTTTAGTGATTAATGAACTTTGCAACTTTTTCAGGGAATTGTGTGCTAAAAATATTGAGGACGATAAGCTAGAGAAGCTAGAGGCCTTTAATATTGTGCAAGCTTGAGTATATTTTTCTGCCATCATTCTTCATTATCATCATATACTTAACTGTTCATCTTGCAACTGAGGCCACGCTTGCCGGACTAGTGTAACATCGATAGATATATCTCTTTTAAAGGTATATAGTTTCTCATTTAGTGTGATTGATATACTTATTCTATTTACAAGTTTGGATGTCATAATTTAATGTAAGTTTTTTGTAAGTATCTTCTCACTTTGAAAATTTATATACGCAATAGAAATCGGCAAGAGGGTTCTATTATGAAAGATTATTTGCTAGAGGAAGTAACCACCTTTTGTTCTTGTTATTTGGATGAAGAGATTGAGACAAAAGTCAACAGACCTCTTAGTATCCATGATGGACCACATAAAAACCTGTATTACAAGAAAATGAAGCCTAAATTTATCAATAAGATTCATTGTTTCATCCTCCTCAATAGTGATTGCCTTGAAGAAGTTAGATAGTAAGTTCGTTTCATATAATAGTATATACACACACACTTGTATGGAATAATATACTTCTATTACTAACTATTCATGTTGACTTTAGAATTCACAAGGATGAAATACATGTAATGTGTCGTAATTGGAATGACGCATGTGTGGAAAAACATCATCAGGATAATTTTTATGATTGCCTTAAGCATTATGTAAGAATTCTCTTATCTCATATTTCTGAGTCATTATACTAATTTAAACTATCATTTACCGCATTAATTGTTTCATCAGAGCAGACTACTGAGCATAGAATCAACATTTAGATTAGGAACTTTTGTGCCTAGCTACACTTTCGGATGTTGAGGTTCTGGCATATAAAGGATTTGGTGTTAGCGGTTATAAGTTTCAAATCGAGTCTATCAAAAAATCTCGCACCACCCAGAACAGTGGAATTGCAACCCTAGGAACCAATGGCAATACATTCTATGGGTACCTTGATAACATACTCGGTATCGAGTCTATCAAAGAATCTCGCACCACCCAGAACAATGGAATTGCAACCCTAGGAACCAATGGTGATACATACTATGGGTACCTTGATAACATACTCGGTATCAACTATTCGGGATGAGCATGATACATTTATGTATTTCAGTGCGTTTGCTATGATATGAAGACTGGAACAGGAAAGTGGAAGGAGAACTATGGGAGTTGGATAGATGAATATTGATTGACAAGTGTAAACCCACATGTTTTTCCTTTTGAGGATGATCCATTTACATTTCCAGAACAAGTATTTCAAGTATACTACTCAAAGTGCTTGAAGCATTTGGGATGGAGTGTTGTATGCCGATGGAGGCCGAGGAATACTTATGATGTCCTACAATTTGTAGATTCAGAGATCGTAGAGGTCAATGTTGAAGAAGAATTTGAGCAGGGAGAATTTGTATGTCAAGGTGAATGCATGCCCTGAATCTGATGAAATTTCGTGGGTTAGAAATGATCTAAATAGTTAAATTCTTGTAGATGTTCCTACAACTTCTAATGCATCTATGAAATGAAGAAGGTAGCCATCTTAAAATTTGTAATTTCATGTGACTATTGAAATGTTAACATTCTAAGGTATTTTAATTAGGGGTATATTTTGTTGATATGTACATATGTTTAGTTCAACCTCATTCTTTTGCTATCGACATATTCTTCTGCATATATTTCTTATAAATTAAAAACCTTTTTCTAGGGGTTAATGATGATGACTGGAGGACATCTGTAATAGCCCCAGATAAAAAAAAAGAAAATATATAATAATAATAATAATAATAATGATAAATAAATTGTAAGTCGGTGATTTTTTTCACCACCTCACATCACCGCCTCCCAACAGTATTTAAGGAGAGGAAAAGAGGAGAAATTAGGGTTAAAAATGAAAATAGAAGAAGTGAAGAGGAAGGAAGACATTGAAAGAAAGGGGAGAAATCTAAGGTATAAACTCTATGCTTCCTTATTTTTCTTTGATTTAAGAATTAATACATAATATCCTGAGAAATTGAAAAAAAAAGAAGAGAAAACTTACCTGACTGCCGACGTTGGGGAGGGCTCGTCCTCGGGTGG